TTTGATTTTTCTTCGGCTGGGCGAGAATTTTTGCGGGGAAATTTTTGAGTGTTTAATTCGAAATAGCGTGGAAACGTGAAGATCTAAAAAGAACCCGAGGTGCGAGCGGGATTGTTTATTGCGCAAATATAGCATCCGTTCCGACAAACAAGACAACCAGCCATGTTCGTCATCCCGGTTGGAGATTGCATGGCGCGGGTTGCTTTCTATGGCTAGCAGTTGTGTGATGTGCACTGCTTATGCGTCCATACCCCGTGCGCACACAACTGCGGTTCCAAAGTGTTCCTTTCCTTTGGGGGAGTCATTACGGCCTGCTGTCGGCTGGTTGCTGTTTCGCATCCTTGCAGCACACTACTGATTACTGGCGCAGTAGTGTCTGTCTTTAGTCCGCCACAGAAGGATAACTTCTGTCCATCGAAAACTCGTCTGCGACTGGAGCTCTGTGCTCACCCTGCGATTCTCCACATACGACACTGGCAGCACAACCTCACTGCGCCTGTCTGACGATGACGCAGCTTCAAATGCTGGTCAAGCCAGCGCGGCCATTTCTCTGAGTCCCCCAGCAGAAGCCGCTCCGGTTGTCTGGATCCCAATCAACAGCGGGATGTACGCCGTCCGACTAGCTAAGTTGTTCAAAGCTTCAAAGTCGCGTGCAGACAAATGGCGTCTGCTTTTCATTGCGGCCTACGCCCCATAAAGGGTAACACACATCTATCACCAACTGAACATCCCCCTTCACAAGAGAAGTATGGATACGGTAGTGCTTGCTGGTGATTCAAAGGCCCAAGTCGAAAATCGTCCTCCGAAAAGCTGCATCTAGGCGGCCAAGACGGTGTAGATTAAGGTAAAGATAACCGAGAGAGGTTGCTACACCTGTGTGAAGATGCTCGCCTATTTCACGCGAGCAGGTACTTCCGACACAGCACCCGCAGAAGTATTTGCAAAAGTCTGTTAACAGACATAATGCCATCAGAAACCATGGGATTCAAACGAAGGTACAGAAACAGTAAAATAAAACACAACACAACAATGTCCATGGTTTCCTCAGAGGGCGAGATACTACCCGGTTGCCCAAGCCGAAGTAGGGTGTTGACTTAGGGGACACCACCCCGAGCCTTTGGCTTAATAGCCTGCCCGCAAGGCAGCGGAGCGAATTCAGGGAATCGCGCCCATTGGGAGCCGGTGACTGATTGCTCAGTTCATACGCCTTTCGTTTGTTCCTTTGTCAAACAGGGGCCCAATGCTCCCCAGAAGTACAGCATAAGATTGCTGGAATACAATGCTTCGCCAGGATGAAGCAAGGGGCAGTGACTTTATTTAGTGGCGAGTCACGTCCGCCACGTCACAGTGTTGTTAAACGGACATATGTGGCTTTTTATAGGGAGAACGCTTGCCAGGCGAAAACCCACCACGTCCTGGAACACTGCTGCCGAACCATTTGCTGGAACGGGAAAATCCCGAACCACCCAGCTGGCACCACGAGGAGGTTGTTCGGCAAGCCAGAAGAGTGACATGCCGCCCACCATCCTCGGAACATGCATGGACGGAAATCGATCAGATCGTGATCAGTTAGCGCTGAGGAGGCTGTCAAAAATTGTCAATCAATTTAGAGCACAAGCATGAACTCCGAGCACGCACTCTTTTGTGCGTATGAGTTTACATCAGCGAAAATATGCAGTGAAGCTGTGCGCGCATAGACACCTGCCAAACGCGAAGCCAGGTGTTCGGTATCTATATCAAACTGTCTTGGCATCTGAGCTGAGTAAGTGTCCGCTGAACGCAGTTGAGGGTCATTGGTCACATACCGCCAGACGTGATTAGCAACAGGCACCTCTTCCTGTCGTAAACCCGATTGCGAGTCAGAATATTGGAACTCTACACAGACACTGGAACGCCTGGATGCTCACCGAGGTGTTCCGGCTGGAAGCAAACACGATAAACCCAAAGACCTCAGGGCAAAACTGCGTGCTGGTGTGAAAAGGGACCGCGAAGTCTGGTGGTCTTATAGTGAATCGGACCTGGAAATGCCCGATTATACTTGGTGACCATCGAAAATTATGGTTCCATACGCGAAACGGACAGCAGCAGACCTGGTGTTGGCGAGACTATATGCGACGTGATTAGATGGCAAAACAGCTTGTGAAAGCCAAAATCTCTGAGAAGCCGCTTAAAATCAAGTCACTAGCTTTTCCATCCGGGCACTGATCCCCTCCTCTCTGGGCCGTCCCGCTGGATCGGCCCTCACGTGCAGAAGTCGAACGTAAGATCAGACTGATGAAATAGTATAAGACAGTATAGACAGATAGACTTCTTTCAGCTCTCTTTAAAATCGGGACACTTTCCCTTGTTGATGTGAGAGTAGGAGACTGTTCAAACAGACTGAAGCCGCTATGTTTAAGTCCGAAATTTCAATCGAGGCTCAGGTTCGGAATGTGGCAACAGAGGAATCAGTGTGATCTCAAATGCCTCCAAGTTGCTTGCTTCCGTCGTTCTACACAGACTGATTGGCACCTGTGAAACCCAGATTCGTCAAAAGCAAGTCGCCTTTCGTCAAAAGCGACGTTTTATTTACCATATTTATAGTTTGCATCAGTTGTTGAAACACCGCCAAATCTATTGACGACCAGCCGCATTTGTATTCGTCCACATTAAGGCTTTCTTTGATTTCGAATTCTTGGAAGATACTTGGAACTGATCGAGTAGTCATGAGTTCAGAGAGGTTTGGAAACAATCGGTTGGTATAGTAGTTTGGTAACGTTTCGCTCTTGAAATAAGAGCTTCGTCAGACCAGGTGAATCTGGGTACAATTGGAGTGGGATTTTATAGCGAGCAGGGGCGATAATCGCGTTACCCGAGACTTGAGCCATGGTGTCATTACAGTAACAGCTCGCGATGTCACCTCACGTAGTTCAAGCACAGTGGGAATAGTCCAGGTGTTTCTTTGTGCGTCATCGCATTGACGGATAAGCTCATAGTGTTAACAATGGGAGTCGATTTTCAGTTTCCAAGCTGATCCACGCATCGATGCTCGTCAGGCTGGCCGGCTTAAGATCGCTCGTCACGCATTAGAGTTCTACCTCCTCCATTCCATTCACACAGTCGTCAGATTTGGCAATTTCCACCGTCTCGGAAATCAACCGCTAAGGTGTTGCTCGTATACCCCTTCTAATGACCTCTACGTTTTCTAAGTCCATCTGGTGGCCCGTGTCTAATGCATGCACAGCTACGGCCGAGTCTCTTACTATTGCCTGGTATTCAAACTCGTTTCTTGATGGTCTGGAAATGCGCCTTCTATGCTCGGAAATTCATGTGAGTAATTCTCTCGCTGTTTGGCCTATGTACACATGTGCACAGTCCTTACATCTAATTTTATAAACACAGTTAGTCGTCCTATTCTTGGGACAGGGGTCCTTCAGGTGTACCAGTGCTGAACGTAGCGTTCGACCTCGCGGAAAGATCACCTTTATATTTTCCTTGTTTAGTACCCTCCGAATTGCCTTCCTTGTACGGACTTCCTACCGTCTCTATCCACTCGGTTGTGGGTCCTGACGGCCGGTTTAGCACTTTAACCAATTGGCGTTTGACTAGCCACCCTGGGTAACCGCTTTCTAATAGTTCCCTCATTGCCACTTTCCGCGCAGCCTTTTTGTCCTCCTCCATTGTGCACAAGGTTTGTGCCCTGTAGAACAGCGCTGAGGCTATCCCAGCGTAAACCTGTTTCAAATGACCCCAAGTGTAGTGGAGTACGCCGTCAGTATCTGTTGGCTTGCGATATATTGTCGTCTTTAAATTTCTCCCATTCCTGTGAACCAGGCAGTCAAGAAATGGTATTGTACCGCTACAAGATTCCAACTCAATAGTAAACTGTATCCTCGTATCAATGAAGTTTAGTGCTCAAACAACTCGCCCTTCTTATTCCGTTTAACAAGTACAAAGGTGTCGTCTACATAACGCCACCAAACTTTTGGTGAGTTTGTTTGTTAACGCTCTGTTCTCGAAGTTTTATATAGACAAGTTCGCCAGCACAGGGGATATTGGCGATCCCATGGCGAGACCTTGTTCCTGACTGTACAGCTCGACTGAAAAACGAAGTAAGACGTGTTAAGACACATTGTCCTACCCTCGATTATTTGGTTAACCTTAAGTTTCGTCCGATCACTCAGTGACGTCTTCATTTAGTTGTCTTGCTATTCCTAGCGCCTCTTCTTTGGGTACAGTGGTGAAAAGTGACGTGACATCGAAGCTTAGCATCAACTCAGTTGACTCGATTTTGAGACTTGCTATATTTTGAGCGAACTCATAAGTTTTTCACGAATGTACTCGTTTGCCCTGTTAGAGGCTGCAATGGCCTTGCCAAATATCTAGCCAGTTCATGGGTCGGGGAGCCTATACCGTCGACTATGGGCCGTACGCGAACTTCGGGTTTGTGAACTTTTGGCAAGCCTTAAACCCTAGGAGGTAAAAGTCGATTTTGGGTATAGACTGTACTCTCCTGCCATAAATCGTCCTTCAAGGTTCCTAAATAGTTACCAACCTCGGTTTTAGTTTTGTTCATTACTGACATCACGGTCTTATCAACAACTATTCTATATGGACCCGTCTCCAAATGTCTCGTACTTGTGTAATGATCACCGGTCACCAATTGAACCCAAATGAGTCATTCACAGTCCTCATGCGTAGTCAAAGGCCTTACATAATCAAGCTACTCGAGGCCATTGTGATCCATCGACAGCGCCCACCGCTGTGTCCAAAAACAGCCTACCGTGGTAGCGTGCCACGAACAAATCGAAAAGAACACGTGATCTATGTTGATTTCATGTGACCTTGTTTATTACATTCCTTTCAGCTGCTTGTATAGTAGTTGAGGAGTATGCACGAAATGACAATGTCATCCCACATCCTTTGTCTTCTGATATTGTTATTTGGAATTATAAAGGGAAATTCATGTTTTGGGTTGCAAACAGCAGAATCAAGGCAAGCGGCCAAACAATGCAACTTACTCGGTTTGCCACGCTGTTGGTTTAACCGTTCTAGCGCTGCATCGGCAGCCTTGTTAGTGCTTTTGGAAGACTGGTTAACCTGTTTCGGTGGATCTGCTGGCATTTGCTGAGGGACCGACCTTGATTCTGGGGGATCCCCAAGTCGGTGTCCATCGCCTAAGCGAGAGAATTTTCTTTCCAAATTCTTGGTTTTAAAAAATTCAAATAATTTGCTCATATCGAAAAGCTTCGATTGTCAACAGAAATCCGAAGAGAACAGCTGGAAACTTGCGGAAGAAATTTTGATGGAGTGGTCGTATGAATGTGTCTTCACATGGCGATATTGGACTGTTTACGGAACCATTGTCAACATGTAGATAATCGGGAAAAGAAAATAGTTAGGTTCAAAAAACGGAGAAGGAATATAGACTATCATGCATATCGACAAAAAGTGTGGGATAAACCATGTGGGAGAACCGATACACTAGTCGTCTTACTACAATATGAAGTTGAGCAAGGCGACCCAGCGTTGTCGTGTTTCCTGACATAAAGGTGCCTTCGATTAAGTCGATCGATGTGCCCTTTGGGACTGTCTGATGAGTAAAGGTGTGTCTGATACATACCAATTATCAAAGCGCTGTACGCACATAGTTCGGGCAGAGTGAGGGTTTAGGGCGAACTGTCTCCACCCTTCAGTATCGCCAGCAGTGTGAGACAAGGTTGCCCGCTGTCACCTTTCCTCCTTAACTTCGCTATTGAGGAAATCATGGAAACAGTATTTGCTGGACACGACCTAGAAAGTGTGGAGCTACTTCCTGGTGAGCGACTTGTTGAGTTGGAGTATGCGGACGATATTACCCTCATATGTAACAGCGCCTAAAGGTGCCAGGCTACACTGGACCGATTAGCACTGGCTGTCTATCGTTTTGGGCTATGCTTTGCTCCATCGAAATGTTAAGTCCTTCTTCCAGATTGGCAGGGACCCACCTCTGCGCTGACCCTCGGTGAACAGCTAGAAATCGCTCAGGAATTCAAGTACCTGAGCATCTATATTAGCGCCCGTGGGGTCGAAAATGAGGTTATGAACCGTAAAGCAAAGGCTCGAGGTGCTTTTGTCAATCTCCGCCACCTGTGGCGCAGATGCGATATCACTCTCACCCTGAAGGGCAGAATTTATAATGCAGCCGACTGTTCAACCCTTCTATAGGGTGGTGAAACTTGGCCCATCAGGTCGACAGATGCAGCAAGAAGAAATATCTTTGTGTAGCCGCATTTAATGTCACTCAGGGACAAAGACCCATTATGTTGTGGTTCGCTCGATATATTTTATGTCGGCAAAGTGTTTGTCCAGGAATTCCTTAAATTCCGACAGACTTTGTCTCAACTACGTGCTGCGGCAGGTCGTTTCATATATTCACCACTCTGTGTTCGAAACAGAGTTGGTGAGCGACCCGCTTCAAATCCAGTACGACAAGCTTGTACCGGTGTTCTCGTGTGCTGCTTGGTGTGCGTAGATGAAGCAGCGGCCTCAACATGGGGTAATTTCCCAGGTGTAATATCTGGTGAGTCATGATGAGGTCAATCCTCAGCCGACGATAAGCTAGGGTGTACAGCGCTAGTTTCTTACACCGGTCTTCGTACGGTACACCTCGTAAGTTGGGAATCAGCCTGGTGGCTACATGCTGCAACTCCCTCAATCTTTTCTACCTCGCCTCGGGTGATAAGACAATACACGGGAGAGCCATACTCTAGCGTTGGTCGTATTATTGAGACGAAGAGGCGAGTGGCAATCTCTTCAGACCAAGTGCTGAAGCTGCGCCTGAGCGCCCAAAGCATAGGAAGGCTGTTTTGGTAAGGCTTATTGGTGTTGTCCATGGACTTAGTTCGCAGCGTGAGAGTACACCGAGGTCATGCACGAAAGGCACAGGATGCAACGGTTGACCAGCCACCGTGTAGGTTCGACTGTGCTCAGACTTACCCAGCCTCATGTGTTGCGACTTGACCGGGTTGATCGGAAGGTTGACCTAAGCAGACCACGTGGAGAAGCGGTCGAGGTCTTGCTGAAGCAGGTCACAATCACTGGATGTGCGGATCACTCTCCACACCTTTAAGTCATCTGCGAACAGCGCACAAGGTGATTGGGGTAGCTGAGTTACATCGTTTACAAGTATAAGAAACAAAATCGACCCCAGTACAGTGGCTTGGGACACGCCACTGCTCGATGGATACCAGTCGGTCAAATAGTTGTCCACCTGGACCCTCCACTTTCGATCAACAAGGAAATTCTGGATCTATTGATGCAGTGAGCCACCAACACCGCACATCCTCAGCCTGTCGAGGAGCACTGCGTGATTTACCTTGTCAAAAGCCCAACTGAAGTCAATGTAAATGACGTCGACCGAATCGCCTTGGTCCTTCTGTCGCTAAAAATGCCGCAGGTTCAAGAGGACAGCTCTGGCCTTTGCAATGCGTGAGCTGAAGTCAGTTTCTATGCGCCCATCATTGCTGATGCAGCTGCCAAGATAAGTGAATTGATCAACCACCTCGAGTTCCTTGTTAGCAAGTGTCAAGGGGTCATCAAGTGGCTGGTGGTCCTGCAGCAACACTTTACACTTTGAAGGTGCGAAGTGCATACCAAATAATGGGACCACTCTAGACAGGCTATACAGGGTTGATTGTGCCGCCCCAACATCGTCGAAAAGCAAGACGATATCGTCCGCATAATTTAGATCAACTAATAATAACCAAGCAGCAATTCAACGTCTACATCGTGAGATTCGGCAAGGGAACACTCCATGATAGAATCCACGACGAAATTGAACAAAAATGGGGAAATCGGGCAACCCTGTCGAACGCCACTTGTAGTCGAAAAGCTATCCGATAGGGCACCATAGACCCTGACGCGGCCTCTAGTGTTCGAGTATAGAGCACGAAGGATGTTCACATATTTCGTGGGAACACCTTTCCGCGCAAGTATTTCGAACAGAATCGATCGATCGACTGAATCGAACGCACTCTTGAAATCGAGGAACACAGCTATTGTCGGTCTGCGGTATACGTGGCGCTGCTCTAGCACCTGCCGCAAAGTAAATATATGGTCTATACAGCCACGTCCTGGGCGAAAACCGGCCTGCTCTTCCTTGGGACAATTTCTTAAGTTGCCAATCGGAGGGGAGGCTTGGTGCGCTTCCCGGTAAAGTTCATCGAGAAACGACAGCGACCTAAAACATGATCAGAGTCGACTCATGTATTCCAGTACGAGCGACAATCCAGGATGGAACCACGCCACCTGCAACCTTTGGCTATGTGGTCAATTTGGGTCCATCGCTGGCCAGCTACCGGGGGACGCCAAGTGGCACTTCAGCACCCACTGTGTCTAAAAGCAGTGCTATTAATAAACTACTGGTGCTCCGCACACAGTTGTAGCAGACGCTCGCCGTTGTCAGTCCGTTCGGAGTTAAGCCCATAATTACCACCCAGCTGTGCTTCTGAAGAGCTCAGACACCCTAATTGTGCGTTTATATCCCCAGCAAGTATTATAATATCTGAACTAGTAGCACTGCGTAGTAGCGAATTCAGTTCGTGATAGGATGTGCTCTTGGCAGCATTTGAACTGTATAACAGTGGGTCCCCTTCAGCCATTTCGTCAGAGCAGTGAGAAGACATAAGTTGCGATATGCCAACATTTCGATTGTTCTCATCAGTCGCAAACACAATACAAGCGGGATTCATAGACAGTTATATACAGGGGGAAAAGTTGGCACACCAATCAAATGTCAAAATCAAGACCACGGTAACCTAATTGATCGTCTCAAAAGTTACTGTGCACACAACACAGGTTGATAAGCCCTAATTAGCAAGGCCTCACCAATTGTCAAGATTATCGGATTGTTGTTGTGTAATGACACCTTGAACGCAGCCTCCGGGTTCACCTGGTGTCGGGTTGCCAAGAAATGCTTGGTGATAGATGATGCGGGACTCCGCTTCATCCTCGGATCCACTCCGTTTTGTTGCGTCATCAGTTGCTCCAACCACCTCGGCACATGTTCAGCTACCCTCTGAGCTAACTGACGGTCAGTCCTGCCTATGTAAATGTCACCGCAACCGCAGGTGAACTGGTAAACGACGTGAGAGGCCGAACTGACTGATGAGTTGCTCTGACAGTCATGAAAAACAAGGCTTCGCGTTGTATGTATGAGTCGCAACTGGGCGGTCGCATACGCGCGCGTAAGGGCTGACAGGAGTTTAAGTCCGATACCATTTGATACATGGTCTCCTTTGAACGGCAAGAACAAGTAAACATGCTTTTGCTTTGCGGTTAACACCGGTATTTTCTACTTGTGAGGTCTGCTGTGGATCTGAATGAACTTCTCAGGATACCCATTTGACATCAAGGTTTTGAACAAAAATTCTTCTTCAGCTTGCAACATTTCGGGGCTGCATATCCGTTTGGCTCTGTAGAAGGTTTTCACTAGGCCACGTGTGTATGCGACCGGGGCAAAGCTTGAAAAGTGGAGGTACTGCCCTCTCCAACTTGCCTTGCGATGAACCGTGCGCTGTAGTGTACTATCGATCCGTCTCTTAATGAGTATATCCAAAAATGGCAGACTATCATGTTGCTCCAACTTATGCGACACCGATAGATTTGGATGAATTGAATTCAGAACTGTCGACAGCCGCGCAAAATGTTCGCTGGTGGTGAAGACTAAGATGTCGTCCACATACCGCTTGTACAACGTAGCTTCACCAATGCTGGCAGTAACTTGTCTTTCTATCACGCCGAGAAAGATGTCTTCTAATACTAGTCCCAGAGGGCTACCCATGGCGACGCCGTCGATCTGTTTATAAGCAGTCCCCTCAAAGTCGAACCGTATATTTTCCGTGCATAATAGGATTATATCCCTCAAATACTCCAGCGGCAGGCCAACAGACATGTTTTGACTCGCGATGAAATCACACAAATTTTCAACCGTCTCACGTAGAGGCACGTTTGTGAATAGGGAGTCGACGTCTAATGAATACATGTGCTCCGCACCCAGCGACACGTGTTCCAGTGTCTCGACTAATTCAAAGGAGTCCTTTGAACAATACGTGGCCAGGAGTTTGCGTACCGACTCCAACATTTTCGCTAGCAACCGCGCAACGTTGTGACATGGCGAGTGGTTAATACACATAATCGGGCGCAGTGGGTTACCTGCCTTGTGTAATTTGGGAGCGCCCCTCATTCTGGGTGTCTGAGTGCCAGTCGGTTTCAACCGCCTGTATCGCTAGTCATTGATGTAACCATGTAGTAA